ATAGAAATGAGGCAACAATACAGAAAGAAGAGGGAAGATTAAATCAAAAAGGATATGCATACGTTTTGGCCAGACAACACCCCCACGCTTTGCAGATCCACGTGCCGCTTTCCCACCATGGATCGGTGTGTGCAGTGTGACAATATCATTCAAAGGGGGATTTTGATCACTTTCACCTGGTTGATCTCCAGAGTCATTTTCAGTCATGTCATCAGTCGGGTTTGTCCTATCTTCTGAGCTCTCAGCTTCAGGTCTGTTGTCTGGCTCTGACAATTCATTCATCTTCTCTGCAGTAGATAATGAGCGCATACCCAGATGACATGCCCCCAAAAAAGTACTTACTAAGCATACAAATATGATTTCCTTGTGCATTTCTTATGACACTTTGGATCAAAAAGGGAAAGGATTGGGGAGATGGGAGTTACCTTGCTTATTGTTGGCATCATGATGATTCCCTGGATAAAATAAAGGCAAAATTGTTGTTAGCAAGGCACATCTCAGCAAGTCACACACAAAGACGTGTGGAAACACGTCCAAATGCAAAGCCTTCATGAGGATTGGCATGAGTACAGCTGGCAGCATGTACGGGTGTTCTGGTAGAACTATAAGCACTTACTAAGTGCTACCTCAAGAAAGAATTACTGTAGGATGGTAGGTGGGGGCTTGGAGATAGGTGTAGGGGATTTGAGAGTTGTGTCAGGGCATACACCCTGACCTAGCCCATACCCGCATCCACACCCGCACTCGCACCTGCACCCACAACTGCACCCAGCTGTTGCACTCCCCGCACACACCCTGTGCCAGACGCTCAGTGTGGCCGGATGGCCCAGACCTTGGGTCTCGGGTCTCATGTGACTTCCGGATATCTCTGGAAGTTTTCGATGTATTGTGGCCACTGTGGGAAGATGAGAAGTTAACTTCCTGCTCATCTCTGACCCACAGTAGGATTGTGCCTTGGATTGGGCTAGCCAGACTTGAGGCTGTGGGCCATAGGGGAGGGTCATGGGGACCCGGGAGTCGTCCCCTGACAAGTTGATATGAGAGTACAGATGAGGGAGATGAGGGCTGATGAGGGACGAAGTAAGGACCGGAAACTGCCGAGAAGCTGTTTTGATCAAGCTAAGTCCTAAGCGCTGTAGGAGAAATAATATTCAAAGAATAAAACAATGATCTATCAGAATAGTCAACGAACAGGTGACAAGTTCAGACGTTTAACAGATCTCATGATCTTTATGAGACTGGACAGACATTAGAGGATCATTATAAATTATCTACACCCATGTAGCATGAGATTTAATCTACTACAAGCATGCCTAGAACCTGGCATAGGTGTAATATTCAAAGAATATATCCCTACAACAAGAAAATAGCACATAGACGGCAGAATAAGAAGGAACATTGGAAAAGAAATGTGAATATCTCGGGAACCAGTAAACTTTTGACTGTAATATTTTTACCATCTGAAAGGACTGTTTCTTAACTTTATTCACGGTTTTGTTTCATTCTAAAAGCTTCAAAACTGACGGAGATATTGCTCAAACGGCGAAACACCTTATAATTCATATATATTTATTTGCTAATTCTTACAAAAAGTAATGTGACTCAAGGGAAATATATTGGTGCCCAGAAGTCTGGCGGACCGAATACCATATGATAGAGTATTCCCTGGCGTGGGCGGACAGTTTTTGATCACATCAGAAGAGGAGAAAATGCTAAAAAACCGGATCTTGTATATTTTCCCATGATTCATCAAAACTTTTTGATTTTAGGCTCAAATAAATCGGAACAAAGGAATGATTGATGATCTGGATCTCGGATCATAAGCATAAAGTGATTCAGAAGTCCGCGGATCAGTTAATTAATTGGGAAGGCTCTAGAACATTAGTAATGATGCGGCTTCACAAAAAGGGGTCAATTAGAGAACAGTCTAGGAAGTTCCTTTATAGCTGAGTCATTTCTAAAGATAACCGTTCGTAATTAAGGCGGTGTAGAGCATAGCTTTAGCGCTACAAGATCCCGCTAAGATCGGCCCAAAAGACAAAGAAATGAATTACTTATTGCTGAGTCATGTCCTAAGTCCATTATTAAGCTTACACAGCCCAAGCCCCTATATCATTCTAGAACTATCTATAATACAAATGTAGCACATGTAACTAGTGCGAGGCGTGGGAGTAGAGAGGCCTCTGAAAAGCATAAAAGGCCGCCACTTCTGCCCCCTCTCAAACCTCAGGTAGAAATAAAAGTTTAATTCTCCTCACCAGTGGTTGGTTCATTTGCTCCAAAAGATAAAAGCAAATATTAGTTGTTAGCTAATATAAGTCTAACACGTCACTCTAAGCATGAGTTAGGGTCAGTTAGACACAGCTGAACAAAAGTGTCATAGTGAGAATTAGTGAGAATTTGGTGGAGGGACTTCTTAATTGAATAATCTCTCAGCAATATTTGGTTATCACACCACAGGAGAAAAGTGAGCGATCCTGAACCTGCTAGATAACTAGCACGCACTCTAAGCGATAGAAAGAGCAGTTTGGTCACTCCTGTATTGAGTAACATTTATTGTGGAATTATTTTATTAGTAGTTTTCCTTCAGTAAATTATCAGGAAAATCACATCCTACTGAAAAGTGGTATATCTAGGTGTAATATTGACTAGAAATCATAGTAAAGTCAATATAAAATTTTATCTGTAGACAATCTATACGTCAGGTGAGATCGTTGGGGGGTGTTTATTGTTGTTTAGACAGTGAACAATTATATATTTGGCAACCAAAACATGGTCAGTACGCAAATCAGCACAAACTCTAATATCGTTATTGGACATAGGAAACTGGTTACATAAGGTGATCCAGCTCCGCTCCTTCAGCGCCAAGTGTCTACTGGCTCTACACCCAACACCCGATGGTGGATGCCCCCGTAACAGCAATTTGTCCCTGCTGTAATGCAGTTGGCCTCTCAATTAGATGGCATATTGTCAGGGCACTGTCATATCCCGGAATCCTGACCCCGCGCACTCCCACCACATCACACCTTCCTAACAACTTCACCATCCCCTACACCATGCCTCCCCACTCTCCAAGTCACCTTCCCTCCTGACTGTCTCAGCTCCGGTCTGGTTGCGGCACACCGAACCTTGGCCACTCCCATCCCGGAACCTCGGTCCCGAGTCGGAACATTTGGAGACCCCGGATTTGCTCCGATACCCCAACGGACCTCCGATATCCCGTGACATGCCCTTAAACCCTTCCTCCACCCATTTCATTTATTTGAGTCACCTAACATCCTTCGGATACGCAACTCCGCTTTCGGAGCTACCCGCATCCTTCGGTGATCTCCCTCACGTTATCATTTATTAGTCACCTTCCATTCTTAGCACGACTACCTCTTTACTACCATCCAGTTGGCTAACCCCCTTTACCCATTTGTCTTCCCCATTCATTTTCCGGCCTCCAACTCCGGCCTCCTTGGCCCGACACCTCAGTTCCCCATTTAGATATCGTTAGGTACCTCTCGGTATCATTCGGTACCTTTCGGTGTTTTCCCATTTTGTCATTTCGGACTTTGACTAAAGTCCTCCCCATCCTCCCTTTAAATACATGTAGATTAGAACCTGTAGTTCCTCAGTTCTAATCTTGACTAAAATGCCACCCAAAGTCCCTCTGAGTGATTCCCGTCCCCGTTCTACAAGACACCTCAGACATAAGAAATACAAGGACTAACTGAGACGTAACGGAGGCACAGCGCTCCCTCCGAGTCGCTGAGGCCGCGTCCTTCTTAGAGCCTCTTGTACCATCCAGCAGAACCGGGCTCCCTGAGAAGCTTCGGTTCACTACCGGAGCCCTCGGACCCCCCTCTAGTTGAGCCCCGCCTGCATTCGGACTCACGCATTTTATCCCCCCTCCCACACAACCCGGGTTTTTAACAGGCACGGCCTAACTGGCTACCCTGACCCCCTATGCCGGAAGGGAGTTTCCGTCAGACGATCCGGAGAGATCCGAAGAATGCAGGTAATCTCGCTTAGCTCTCGCTTAGCATCCCGCTTCTATCTTCCGTCCACATGTCACCCCTTTCCCACACCTCGCTTACGATTATCCGAATGAATAGTTATCTTTTCATGTCGTCATTCTATCGGCTGTTCCTTATCTCGTTTGTAGCTGCGCTCTAGTGGATAGCGGTATCCATGTATATAAGCCCTATCTCCGCTGAAGGTGGCGCTTCAGCGTTAACAATGACTAGGATTCTCGGGAACACCTTTATCATCGTGAACTGACATGCAGTCCCTGACACATATCCAGTTTTCTGGCCTGGACATACTTGATGCACTTGAGCCAACACCCAAGCATGACTCTGACAATTTCGAGCACAGTTTCAGTGACTAGTTTCAGATAGTGGCGCTTATTTGGATGTGGCATTATCACCCACTCCCTTCACTACGCTCTCTGACACCACCCAAATCATTGCACCTGCATCCGTATTGTCAGTCTGTGGCCAGTTCTGTTATGGGACAAATTCTGAACATTGTTGGGCTATCATTGACCACAGCAGCGAGCTTGCGAGGCCAATTCTTAGTGTGGATGATGATGGCTAGCTGAACGTATCGAATGTGCATCCCAACTCATGTAAAATTCATTGCACTCAAGAGACTATCAATTGAGTTGTATTTTACAGCATTCCAACTGTGGTATTTAACTTCACTGCGCATTCTGTCGTAATTTACCTCCTTCAAAATACCACCAAAACGTCTGTAAATGGTTAAAAACTACAAGTATTGTGATTTTTTACAACAGTTTACTTCCCACAGTGAACAGCAACTAACTGGCAGTAGAGTTTGACACTTTGATGAATGGGAGTGCCTCTGAGTGCTGTCCAAGATTGGAAAGAGTAATACATAGATTGTTGAGCGACTTGGCCAAATATGGGGTGTGCGGTCCTGGGTGGATGGCAACTAACTGGTGGGAGAGTTTGACACTTTCTTCTATGAATGGAAGGAAGTGCCTCTGGATGTCATCCAAGATTGGAAAGAGCATTATGTAGATTGTTGAGTGACATGGCCAAATCCAGTGTGTATGATCCTGGGTGAACAGCAACTAACTGGCAGTAGAGTCTGATGCTTTCTTCAATGAATGGAAGTGCCTCCGAGTGCTGTCCAAGATTGGAATGAGCAGTATGTAGATTGTTGAGTGACATGGCCAAATTTGGGGTATATGATCCTGGGTGAATGGCAACTAACCAGCACTGGAGTTTGACACTTCCTTCAATGAATGGAAGTACCTCCGAGTACCATCCAAGATTGGAAAGAGCATTATGTAGATTGTTGAGTGATGTGGTCCAATCTGATGTATATAATTCTGGGTTGGCATCGACTAGTTGGGAGTAGAGTTTGGTACTTTCTGCAATGAATGGGAGCGCCTCCGAGTGCCGTCCAAGATTAGAAAAAGCATTATATAGGCTGTTGAGTGACTCAGCCCAATGGTGAGTGTAACCTGGGTCCACAGAACAAAGATAATAGCAGAGTACAACAGAATCATTTGCTGCCTCATATGCCTCTTGGAATCTTGAAAAAAATACCAAATTCCAGTGAAGCTGGGTAAGTATGATAGCCAGTGTACCAACAGCATCTTTTGACCCATGGACAATGGTTGCTGTTGCCAACCTCAGACAGCAGACGGTCATTGTCAGCTACCCATGGCTCCTTCTTCACAATCCTGAGGTAGACTGGAGTCGACAGAAGGTGACCATGACATGATGCCCACCCGAGTGTGGGAGGGCAGTGCCTGTGGAGCCAGAACCGGTAGAACCTGGAGACGAAGTCTTCACGGTCCACGTGATGTTGGCACAGGATGTGCAGGAGATCTGAGCCACCACTACCCTTTCCCAACAACTTGCAGAGGAAGCTTGGCAGGGTAAAGGGCACCCATCAGAGAAGATGGTCCCTGAAACCTACCATCTTTATGAAGATGTGTTCTCCAAGGAGGCATTTAGCATGTTGCCTCCACAGAAACCGTGGGATCATGCAATAGATCTCCTACCTGGGGCTGATCTCCCATGGTCATGCACTTTCCCTTTGTCTCGAAATGAACAAAAGGAGCTAGATGAGTTTTTGTGGGAAAATCTTGCTAATGGCCGCATCAGGCTGTCTAAGTCCCCAATGGGGGCCCCTGTGTTTTTTGTCAAAAAGAAAGATGGATCCCTCCGACTTGTTCAAGACTACTGAAAGCTGAACGAGATCACAGTGAAGAACTCATACCCTCTCCCACTTGTATCAGATGTGCTCAACTGTCTTCACGGTTTGAGGTACTTCTCTGTCCTGGACCTCAGATGGGGTTTCAACAATGTCTGATCAAGGAAGGGCATGAGTGGAAAGCTGCTTTCCACACCAACTGAGGAGTGTTTGAACCCCTTGTCATGTTCTTTGGTGTCAGGGGACGGACCCCAGGTCCCCATGACCCCTCTCTATGGCCCACAGGCTAACCTGTAACAGCAGCCCATCTCAGGGCATAACACTACTGTGGGTAAGAAAGTGAGAACAAGGTTAACTTCTCACTTTCCCACAGTGGCCCCAATATGGCAAAAACTTCCGGGGATACCTGGAAGTCACATGAGGTGGGATCCAGGGTCGGATCATGCAGCACGCGGAGCGTGTGGCGCAGGAAGTGCGCAGGAAGTGGAGTGGGTCCGGACGCGGGTCTGGGTCCGGGCTAAGTCAGGGTATGTGCCCTGACATTTGGTCTTTGTAACTCCCCTGCAACCTTTCAGACGATGATGAATGATATTTTTCGAGAGTTTATCGACAGAGGTGTTGCCATCTGTTACATGGATGACATCCTGCTCTTCATGTTGAAAGAGGGCTCGCGGCTCTCTATGCTGACTAAGCTCGTGGGGCCAAACTCTCCAAAATCCTACTTTCTTGACTAAACTCACTATGCTCTCGATCCTTAACTCCATGGTGGGTTCTCCAGGATTTCTGCAGGGTCCGGGCTCAACAAATCCACTACCCACTTGTTGCAGGCTAGATTGTTGCCCTTATTCCTACTGTTGGAATTCCACACACTCACACCCTCTCTAGCGCATCCTAGCACCTTGGAGAATTTTGGGGGAGGGGAGAACTTCTTTTTCCAAAATCTGGTATGTATAGGATATAAGGAACAATTATTTTTAGAATAATTGATGGGAAATATTGGTACCATATGGCACCTGCATACCTTATTAGGCAAAATAATAAAAAAGGGTAACAGTAACAATAAAAGAATATCAATCAATAACTGAAATGATGCAAAAATATGAAATATAAGAAAATAAGCGATTTCTCAACGGATTTACGTAATTAAAGGCCAAAATTGGAAATGCAGCCGGAGATAACTCTCATGCAGCCGATAAGCATTTTTACCAATTTATTAGACGCTGTGGGAACGAGTGAGCCAGGAATTCTGGGTTGCCGCTTGAGATTCCCATGCCTGCACATGCCCGTGACCTGCTGTGCCTAACTTCTCCAACACGGAACTCTGTCAAATCTCCACCGATTGGGACGTTCTTGATATCGTCGGAATCGTACGAATTAGCACTATTTTTGGATACCAAATCTGTACTGAGTTGTCGCGTGCATGAAAGGGATTTTCTGAATGGTGGAAGTGGGTATCTGAGCCGGCTCTGCATGTGGGGGATTATCCCGCCTACAACGTCGACTCTCGAAGAACATCGCCAGGTTGTCCTGGAGGTGCTAGCCACCCTGCAGAGACACAAACTCTTTCTTAAACCAGAAAAGTGCAAGTTTGAGTAAACTCAGATAGTGTCAAAAACCCGGATCATAGGGGAAAATGCATGAGTCCAAATGCAGGCAGGGCTCAACTAGAGGGGATCCAAGAGCTCTGGTTAGTGGACCGAAGCTTCTCCAGGAAGCCCAGTTCTGCTGGATGGTACAAGAGGCTCTAAGAAGGATGTGGCCTCAGCGACTCAGAGGGAGCGCTGTGCCTCCGTTACGTCTCAGTCAGTCCTTGTATTTCTTATGTCTGAGGTATCTTGTAGAAAGGGGCTGGGATTCACTCAGAGGGACTTGGGGTAGCATTTTAGTCAAGATTAGAACTGAGGAAAACTACAGATTCTAATCTACAGGTATTTATAAGGGGGAATGGAAAGGACTTAGTCAAAGTCCAAATGATAATAGAAGAACACTGAAAGGTGCCGAACGATATCCTTAATGGGGAACTGAGGTGTCGGGTCAAGGGGGGCGGAGTAAGAGGCCATAAGATGAATGGGAACGAGAAATGAGTAAGGGGGGGCTAGCTGACTGAATGGTAAGAAGAAGATAGTCGTGCTATGAATGGGAGGTGACTAATAAATGATGACGTGAGTGGGGTCACCGAAGGATGCAGTAGCTCTGAAGCAGAGTTACATATCCAAAGGATGTTGGGTGACTCCAATAAATGAAATGGGTGGGGAAATGGTTTAGGGGTGTGTCATGGGATGTCAGAGGTCCATCAGGATATCAGGGCAATCCGGAGTCTCCAAATGTTCCGACTCAGGACCGAGCTTCCGGGATGGGAGTGGTCAAGGTTTGGTGTGCCGCAACCAGGCCAGAGCTGAGACAGTTAGGAAGGGAGGTGACTTGGGGAGTGGGGAGGCATGGTGTAGGGGATGGTGAAGTTGTTAGGAAGGTGTGGTGTGGTGGGAGTGTGTGGGGTCAGGATTCCGGGATATGACAGATAGAGTACCTAGGGCTGGTGATATTGGAGAACCAGGTAGAGATGGACCCAGTGAAAATCAAAGGCGTTATGGACTGGCCCATCCCAAAGCAAGTGAAAGAGGTACAATCCTTCCTTGGGTTTGTGAACTTCTACCGGAAGTTCATCTGCGACTTCTCTGAGATTGCAAGGCCCCTGAATGCACTGACATGAAAGTCTAAGCCCTGGAGGTGGGGTAGAGAGGAACAAGAAGGGTTCGATGCCTTGAAGAAGGTGGTTACCTCAGCTCCGGTCCTCACTTTCCCATCAGACCATGGGCATTTTTAACTTGAATGTGATGCCTCTAATTTTGCAATGGGAGCCATTCTCTCTCAACTCCAGGAAGACCAACAATACCACCCAGTGGGGTTCATGTCCCAGAGTCTCAATGATGTCAAACGAAACTACCAGATCCATGACAAGGAGATGCTTGCGATAATCCGTGCCCTGGAGGAGTGGAGACATTTCCTGGAAGGAGCAGTGGAGCCTTTCAAGGTCTTCACAGACCATCGAAACCTCTCCTACTTTCGGTTGGCCCAGAAGCTCAACAGGTGCCAAGCTCACTGGTCTCTATATCTTTCTTGCTTCGACTTCATGCTCACACACAGACCAGGGAGACTCATGCAAAAAGCAGATGCCCTCTCGTGACAAGCAGACCACCCATGAGGAGAAGAGGACAACTCCGAGGTCACACTGCTATGCCCAGACCTTTTCCACATCCGAGCTGCAGCGGCTGTCTCTCTCCCAGCAGAAGAGGAGGGATTCCTGCAGCAGATAAGAAGGTGCAAAAGGATCGAGGGCTCCATAGCAAGTGCAACCTGTGAGTTAGAATCTGGATCTGAGGTGCCTCCAGGGTGGGAGCTACATGAAGGGCTTATGCTCTATCAAGGGAGGGTCTATGTCCCCCAGGACCCCCTTCTCCGCCATGACATAGTCCATGCTCATCATGACACTCCAATAGCTGGACACCCTGGTTGGTGGAAGACATTAGAACTTGTGTCTTGGAACTACTGGTGGCCAGGGCTCTCTCGCTATATCGCCAAATATGTATCTGGATGTGACACTTGTCAATGGGTGAAATCTTTCCCAGCCTGGAAGACTGGGAAGCTCATGCCAAACAAAGTACCAGACCAACAATGGCAGGTTGTCTCAGTAGACATCATAGGAGAGCTTCCCCTATCTCAAGGGTTTGATGCAATCATGGTAGTGGTTGATTGCGTGTCTAAAAGGATACATGCAATACCCACTACCACTCAGATGGATTCTGCAGGTGTAGCCTGTCTCTTCCTTGAGCATGTTTGGTGGCACCATGGCCTCCCAGACAAGGTTATCAGTGACAGGGGGACCACATTCATCTCCAAGTTCTCTCAAGAGTTAAGTAGACTCTTAGGTATTAGACCCACTCCATCCACCACCTACCACCCTCAGACAGATGGGCAAACAGAGCGAGTCAACCAAGAGATTGAAACCTATCTTCGGGTCTTTGTGAACCCCAGACAAGATGACTGGGCAGACTGGTTACCCATTGCAGAGTTCAGTTACAACAACCATGTCCACTCAGCCACCTGTCACACACCATTTGAACTTGACACAGGTCGACACCCACACATGGGCACAGAACCCCCTAAAACCACGATGGTGGAAGCAGCTGGGGACTTTGCATCATGAATGGCATGGATGCAGGATGAGGTGAAAGCAGCTCTCTGTCAGGGCACACCCGCCTGACCCGGGTCCACCCGGTCCACCCAGCCACACCTCTCCTGCTACCCCACTGCCCATCCTTCCCCATCCTCCTCCCCTTTCTTTCTTTCTCTCTCCCTTTCTTTTCCTCTTTCTTCCCTTCTCTTTATTTCACTCTTCCCACCATTCTCTTCCTGTTTATTCCTTCTATTTACATGGACCACTTTCCCTTGCATCAATGTACTATTGACCCGTCCGGTCCAGACACCCTGGACG